CTATAACTCGATTAAGCCTGGGTTATATCTCGTTGCATAGCCAGTCAATTTAGGGAAGCCTTCCATACGAACAAGCCAAGCTGCTTCACGCCAACAAAACACGTAACTACTCATCACCATCACCGACATGTAACACTTGAATTTTCTGCTCACTTATACTCCTGATGATTGATCCAAATCACATTCGGAAATTCACATTACATGGCGAAACTACTTCAGTTGAAATAAGTAAAATATGGTTATTCGTCTAATTATCTCCTTTTGTTTTAAATGAATTTCACATTTGCCCGTCAATTGATTGGACCGAAGTGCTCGGTCTCAGGTTGACGTGTCGGCGCTTTGTGCAGATGCATCGACGATGTCTGGGTATTTAATTAGTATACATTTGGTGGATTGTGACTAGCAGTGGAATCCACGATGAGCACTTCGTCCTATTTGCGACTCATCAGCAGGGTTTGAGCCTCGGTGGGAACATCATCACTCACTAAGAAATGCAGGTACATCCAGATGACGAGTCCCAAATAGGACGAAATGCTCATCCCGCATTCCAAAAGCCAAAGAGATGGAAAAAGCATTGGCGATAGGCAACATTAGACAACTCTTTAGACTCATCACAGAATCGGGTGGGAGAAGGCAATTCATAAGTGAGACTATTTCTGAGAAAAATGGCTCCTTTATTAGCTCTCGGGATAGACGCCTTGAACGCTGGAAAGAACACTTTGAGGAACAATTTAACTTGCCTACAGCCACACTGAACCTCCCCGCCATCCACCACGTACCCGAATGGGATATAGACACTGGTCCGCCGTCTGTAAGTGAGGTTACAAAAGCTATCAGTAATTTGAAACGAGGCAAAGCGGCAGGACCCGACGGAATTATTCCGGAGGTGTTTAAATATGGGGGTGACATACTAGTTTGTAGATTAACTGAGGTACTAGGCAAAGTCTGGGAATCAGAGACAGTACCATCAGACTGGGGTAAGTCACTTATTATGCCGATATTCAAGAAGGGAAACAAGTCCTCGTGTGATAATTATAGGGGGATCAGCCTAACGAACATAGTCTCTAAAATCCTAGGCTCAGTAATCATGCATAGACTAAGCAGAACGCGGGAGGAACAGACAAGGGAAAATCAAGCAGGCTTTAGACCAGGTAGAGGGTGCATAGATCATATCTTCACTCTTCGACAGATTCTAGAACATAGACACACTTTTCGGCGACCCACAATTGCCATATTTCTTGACTTGAAGGCGGCCTTCGACTCCGTGGATCGAAAGGTACTATGGCAATGTCTGACTGTGAAGGGAGTGCCAAGAAAGTACATTGCACTAATCAAGGCACTCTATTCAAACTCACGTAGTCGTATAAGGGCTTATGGGGAATTGTCATCTGAATTGGTAACAACCAGTGGTGTCCGACAGGGATGTCCACTTTCCCCATTTCTGTTTAACTTCATCATAGATATCCTGATGGAAGTATCCTTAACTGAACGTAATGACTTAGGAATCGACTTGTTACCAGGGAATAATCTTATGGACTTAGAATATGCAGATGACATAGTCCTGTTAGGGGAGGATGCTGACAAAATGCAGAGTCTTCTGAACACCTTGAGCAGCAATCTTCGTATGTTTGGCATGCGATTCGCCCCTACAAAATGTAAGATGCTGCTACAGGACTGGACCCCGTCAATCCCTAACTTAGTGATAGGGAGTGAAGTGATAGAACATGTTGACCACTTCACCTACTTGGGAAGTTGTATTAGCACCAACGGACTGATTGGCGATGAAATCTCAGCACGGATCCGAAAAGCTCGAGCTGCTTTCGCTGACTTACACCATCTCTGGCGTAGGCGTGACATCCGGTTATCAACCAAGGGACGTGTGTACTGCTCATCAGTTCGCTCCGTCCTTGTCTATGGCTCTGAAACATGGCCAATACGCGTTGAAGACATGAAAAGGTTGATTGCTTTCGATCATAGATGTCTGCGATCTCTGTCTCACGTTTGGTGGTTTCACAAGATAAGTAATGTTGACGTTAGGCGTAGAGTGTTGGGCAAAGAGGGAAAATCAATCGACGAGGCTATAAAGTTACATAGATTGAGATGGCTAGGTCACGTGCCGCGCATGCCTAACCACCGCCTCCCCCGACGGGCTTTGCTAGCTGATATAGGTTCAGGTTGGAAAAGAGCCAGTGGTGGCCAAACAAAATCATGGCATCAATCCATGAAATCCTTGACAGTTAAACTGAGTCAGGTAGGGAGATGCAGACTTCCGGGTTGAGGCCCTCGGGACTCTAGGAATCAATGGCTGGAGACAATAGGTGACATGGCTCAAAATCGTTGTCAATGGCGCAGATGTATTCAGTCTCTGTAATCTTTCATATTCCTTTCTACAATTACCCATTCTGTTTCACTCTTATATTTGTCAAACTCTATTGATTCTCTTCACTCATCTTCTTGTCTACCTTTTGTCTACCTTGTGTGCCAATTGGAACGTGGCAAATCGAACTGCTGCACTTAGGTGTCAAGTTCTATGTTGAATCCAGACAGACAGACCGCATTCCACTGATAGTCACCATCCACCAATTAAATATCTCCTTTTCTGCATGAGTATTGTATTGACACACAGACTAAACCATTCACTCAGCTTGCAACTCCTTACGAATGTCGCGAGTAACAGGCAATCCTAAAACAGGCGAATGCTCCACTTATTGCAATGCGAAATTGACAAGAGACGCAAAAGACATGTTCGGAAACATGAAAGATGTGGTGCCCTACAGAATTACGAAAATGCGATATTTTCGAGCAAAGTGAAAATATTCCCCTTGTTGATGAAACAAATCCTACATCACACGAAACGGAACAGAGCTGACTTCGCGCAATACGTAATACAGAAATCTTTGTGATGCAGTGGAAACAATCACAGGATATCATCATGAATGTGAAATATACAACCGAATTAACATTACACATGGCGGAAAATTCACCATACAATCTCTTTACATTGTAAGAAAACCACCTCCGGATATCCACATACAAACTAGAAAGCCCTACAGTCTCTGTCTCAATGTATTTCGTCAAATTAAGCCTTTCGCCATGCGGAATTATTATTATTACATTAGAAATCAGTTAAAACTTTCTTCATACTTCAATAATGAAGAGTTGTACTCGAACTAAGGATGCATAGGTGTGCAATCTTTTACAGTCAAGTGATCAGGCGAAGAGTAACACAGCCCTCACCGAAGCATTGTAAACCCACCGTTGACAGCCAGGATGATGCCTCGTAGACACCAAAGGTGGCTCAAGTTGATTTATGCCACTCTACCCCTCATGATACTGTTGGAAATCTCACCCGTCACCCCTCCGCCAGCACTGACACAACTACCCAGATACACGAACTTATCTACAATTGCAAGTGATCCACCTGCAAGAGTGAGTGCAGGTACAGGCTCTTGCCAATCTTGTGACAGCACCTTGCACTTAGACGGTGCAAAGCACATAACATGCTTACACAAAGTGATCACTGACTGATTAAGTATGATTTGGGCAGCCTGCGTGCTGTCACATACTCGAGGTCAAAAAGTCTATCTCCAGGTAGCAGATCTACACCACCATCACACACATCCTTCAGAGCTGACTCTAGAATGTCATCAATGGCGAAGTTAAAGAGAAATGGAGGGATCGGGTGACCTTGTCTAATCCCACTGTTGGTTGGGAACAATGATGATAGCTGGTTGTAAGCCCTCACCCTACCCGAGGTCTTTCAAGGTCTTAACAAATTTCTCAGGTACACCTCTCCCTTACAGACAGTTCCAGAGAACAGTTGTGTCCAACGAATCGAAGGCAGCCCTAATATCTGTCAGATCATAGGCAGAAACAACAAATAGACACCCCCCTATCTGCCCTACCACTCCTAACTTTCGAATAACCTTCCAGAGTCACAGCACATAAATGACTGTTAGTGGGAATCCAGTCGAGTATTGCAGCCTCGGCCCTAGCGCTTTGTGTGACACCGACATCTGCTATGCCGGATGCCGATGCCACAGGGTCCCCGGAAACGCGCAGGTGGTACATTCTGTTCAAACTTACAAATGGAGTGGATTTTCGAACCACTTCACTGAGATCTTGAATGCGGGTCTCGGAAATGCAGCAGACATCGACAGTGAGGCTCTCCTATGTTCTTCCTAGATCTTCCTGTTGTACGGTCTGCATCAGTTTCTGAACATTGTGGGTGGCCAGCTTGAACGCGGCTTCAGGATATCTGTGTTAGATATCGCATTGGGGATAACCGTTTTGAAGGCTACTCACTAACATCTCGAAACGGTACAGATAGGCTGAGAATTCAGACAAAGGCGAAAGGCTGTCGAAGATTAAGAAGTCACTGATAGCAAAGGTAAAGTACAGGAGTCTCTGTGTAAAAATACAAATAAGGTTCAGAAGAGATGTGTTACTTGAGACACCATTATTGCTAGAAAGCATTGCTAAGAGCGCGCGATAAGTTTCACTGACAGTTTGTTGCTTCATTTCATTTATTGTGTGAGAGCTGAGATAGTGCCCGAGCGCTCAGACTTAAGCAACTAGGTTTCCTTAAGGGACCACTCCCCGAGTCTTTGACTTGGAGTCTAACCCGCAACGCGGCGAAGCAGCGTCAGGAGCTGCATTCCAGTAGTTGCCAGTGACCAATGTAGGTTCATACGCCATTTGATCCGATTGGATTCTGCAGCCCATGTACTCCATGGTAACTGCTTTTAGTCTAACCGCTATCCAAACAACCTTCCTGACCTGCAGGAACATGAATCCTAGCCAATTTAGTCTGTTCGGTCACTGCGGTATTCAAGCCCGACCGCTATGACAAGGTAGCAGTTGTCGGCCGGGACTGACTTCTAGACCACAACTGATTCCGCAAACTTTCTGTTCACCTCGAATTTCACTTGATCTCAGTGTTTATTTAACACACTCAATTATTCCCATTTATAATATTAGAACAAGACATATAAGCTTACCTACCTAGCATCACGCCTTCACAAGTGTGGATGGAGGAGTAGGAGGGGAATCCATGGAAAGTTGATCATTTATCGACTACACGGGAAGAGCTCCCTAACTCTAATTTAATTGCTTAACACTAATCCGTAACCAGTAGTTTAAAAATAACAGCATACAATTACCTTCTAATTTCTTATCATGTGTAATATCCTACGAATTCCGGTTCAAAAGCGGAATACAAAATCTGTGATGAAGAATAATTAGGCTGACACAAGCGAATGCAGTTCACCAATTCAACTGAACATTCAACGGAGGACTATGCATAAAAGTTCTCACTGGCCCTTAGTGGACCACCAGTAATCTTACATTCCGTTAATGAATAAATTACTTAATCACACTTTGATGTTCAGTTTCTGCTATTCCGTTACTTTTATCGATGATCATATGCCCGAACGCCTGTTTGCACCTATATAGTAAAACAAAACACACTGATGAACAGTACATTCCACTCACTCTTCATGGACGATATCACCTATTCCAACGACTCCACAAGTACTTCAAGTTGAAAAAGTCAAACGAGTCCTTTGTACTCATGCCTTGATTTCAGTAGATGTCATCTAACAACATATAACCTAACTCTCCATAACAATGAAACACATCAACCTACTTAACCACTCCACTCCTTGTCATAGTGTTATGTCACCACGTCGACTGGTACAGAAGCAATCACTTGCATCTCAAAGATAGAAAGTACACTCTAAACATCCCTATATTACCACCCGAAATGTCCAAAATAACCTCTGAATTTCACTGATGACGCGTAAGCAATACACCAACTAATGCAATCATACTGTGAGCCTGAGAAGAACAACTACACTATTAGAATATGGCACATTTCTACCACTTGACTAATACACTTTCACAAATTCATTTCCACTGTCTTCTGTCGCAGAATGTGTCTGTAAAATCGTCAAATAACACAGATTGTGCATGAACATATGTGTGTATACATTTTTGTCATTAAATAATTTGCAAGCATAACACAAATTTTTCGCCAAAATTTTTAAAAAAATGAACGAAACCACAGAAATTTAAGACAGTTTCGGATATGTACAAAAGGGTTTTAAAAAGGATTAACGTTTTAAACAATTCCAAAAATAAAAGAGAATCCAACACAGTGTAGTTAAACCAGGCTTGTGAGGTTTTTTTGACTAGTGCCACTAGTCGTACTAGGCGATTTACCATGCTGTACTGGAGTCCAATGCAGGCAGGAAGGGTCTATACGACGATCCATTGAAGGTGGCTTCATATTGCTCAATAGCGTATCTACGTCATTCTACATATCACGAAATAAAAAGAAAGTAGAATAAAGTCAATCTTATCGCTGGCTATCAAAAAAAAAACCGATTCATACACATTAAGAGGATAAATAGCACACAGATTAATGAAATGCATATCATTGAGGTCATTTCATCATTCTATAACGACGCTGATGATAACAAGGAGTTAATATATTATCCAGTCACAGTACGATTAATAGTGAAGCAAAGAACTTCTCTGCTCTAATCAAACTAAATCCCTACAAAACCAATACTTGAAAATTAATCTGATTCTCACTAGTGACTGGCCCTATTCAGGCAGTTAACCTGGGCTTCTAGTGGGAAGCCGTGACCAGTAGGGTACAGCAGGTTGAAGATGAGGCAGTAAATCACTCATCGAAGAAGACATTGCGAAATGGTCCCGCTATGTCGTAAATTGGCAGAAGTTAGAATTCATGGGCTGACTGGTCATTGGATCGGCTCCCAGTGACTCAATCGTCTACGAGCTACCTCGCCTTGTAACCAGAAGGTCCTGGGCTTGAACTCTGTCGGCGAGTGCGTACTGATGAAGAGTCCCAAACTGTGCTGACGAAACAGTTGTCCAGTACTCCCAGGTTTTCCAGTGGTTCTCTAACCGATGTCAGCTCATGATGAAATCCTCCATCCAGTATAATTATTTCTTTGTCAAATTACTCCAAGAATTCGCAGCACCTGTTACAATATGAAGATTTTATAATAATCACAAGTGCTCCGCATAATACACAAGTTAGCAAGAAGTAATACATTAAATAAGGTTATATACCACGACATCATTACATACTCTATTGTATGAGAAATCAATGTTAACAATTTGAGAGATCGTTTACTTGTGAAAGATGTGGTATTTACAGAGAGGATAAAAAATTCTGAAAGGTTGACATGAACAACCTACAGCCATATAATCTTAAAAAGTAAATTTAACATCTGAACTTTTATATCTCATATAAAGTCCTGTGTAACTTTAGAATCTTCAGAAATAGCTTCAGCAAGAAGATGTATTTTAGAAATGGGAGGAAATAATTTGAGCAAAGAATATCCTTTTCGAGCTCTACAATTACACAAATATAATTGACGGGGTTGAGTAGAACTCGACTACAGTTAAAATTGAACAAAAGTCAAGTTAACAACAGTCTCATCAATGTGGATCTACCAATTCACCTGCTCTACCTGTGGAGCTAGGTATGTGGGCCCTCGCCAACGTTTGCTATCCAAACGTAGCGTCGAACAGTTAACCTCATTGTTTCAAAAAGGTCCCCTCGAAGCTCTATTCTGGAACACCTGACCAAATCGGAGAACCAAGCAAACCGACAAAGTAACTTCAAAGTCATCTAGAGAATACGTGAGAGACTTGCTAAAAGAGTACGAACCAAACTTCTTCAAACCACAGACGCGATGGCGGCAGTTCACATATTAAAAACTGAACTCAGCATACAAAAGAAGATTGTTCAGTTATTAAATCTACAATGGACCTGAACTACCTTAACAACAAATACGTAGTTTTGTTTCGTCTTTTTCTTGCTTCTTTGTTGTTGTTGTTGTTGTTGTTTTTAATTCTATAATATTTCCTTCCCCCACCTCTTATTTCCACTGTCGTGACCTTGACTTCTGTTCACTTTTAATTTTAGTTTAGCTCCATTCAACTCCATCATTAATTAGATTGTCACTCGACTTGCTTATTTCATCTTACATTAGTTCCTAACCAATTAATGAAATTATATATTTATGTTTATATAAATAGAATACTCTAGAATAGTCATCATTAACACTATTGGTGTTTTGGATACTATCGATTTGTTAAGATCACAGTGGAATTACCACAGTTCGAGAAAGATGTATGAGTTATACTTAGCATACAAATGTAATAGTAAATAGAATATCAAATAAAATTAAGAAAATTTCCACAGCAAATTGAGGATCATTAAAACCTTGATGTCCAAGGTAAGAATAGTATCTCTGAACAAGCTTCTTTTTTTGGATACAACGGCTTCAGCAATATTTGGTAAACGAACTCTTAAGGTGAATTTAAGATTAGTTGGGTATGCAGTAAATGACTTTGAAAGCCTCTTTAACATCAAACTTGTGTTTTGTATCCACAAGATGAGATAGAAGAGAGCTTGTGACTGGATTTCGTTTGTCCTTTACTTAACCACTCAGAGTGATATGTTTGGAAATCCGACGAGAAACACGCCTAATTATACAGCCTATGTAAGTAAATGGATGCACAAGAGCAGTCAAATTGGTAGATACACATAGAAGAGGCGAAATTAGACAGTTTATCTTTTACTCCCGAATGCAGAATAGGAGTAGTTTCGAAGACACAGCATAATTTAGCAGCACTCAATGCTCTTTTTAAAACATTCCTAAGATGTTTTGTGTTAATATGTCACTGATGTTATCCGCTAGGAACCGAAGTTGTAAGAATACGGCTTTTTTTCGAACTGTTGATACCTTGACTTGGGATTCATACCCTTATCGATGAATTTCTCTGGGTAAGCGTCCTCACTCAGCAACCATTTAATAATGTTGTAAAGCTCTTTATTAAGACATTCATCAGAGCAGATTGCTATTGCTCTGTAGGCCAAGCACTTTATTAAAGTGCGTCTGTGTTACAAAAACACAAAGCTGAAAAAATGAGTATACTGACCAATTTGATGTAGGTTTTCTATATACACTTTGGTTTTATTGTACCGTCCTTTTTTCTAATCATAAGGACGTCCGTTGTCTAGGAATGAAATACTAGAATCTCTTCCTTTCTCGATGGTAAAATTTTTTTTTGCGCGATGAGAACATCGTTGAATTTGTGTCCAGGGCGTTGTTTGATTCTCATCCTTATTTTTGATAATCAAAAATGTATCAACCACCTACCGACAGTAGAATTCTAGTTCATCAGTTATACATATATATATATATATATATATATATATATATATTGTAACGAAGTAGTTAGATTACTTAACACTTTCCTTTTCTCCCTTCTAGGAGTATATTCCATGGAGCAAGAGGCACAACGTCTATCAGGATTCAATATCATTGATGACAACTAGACTACTTTTGTTTGTGAGTGCTTGACCCGCACGCTCTGTGGTTTTTGCCATTGTACTAAATATACACGCTCTTATCGAGCTCTCGTTCTGATTCTCTTCCTGGTGTGACTGTCGCTCATTGTGTTACAAAATCGAGTCTGGATAGATGCTGTGCCTCGTGCTCTATGGAATAGACTCATGGATGTCTTCCTGAGAGAAGGATAGGAAAACAGTCTTAAGGATATTTTTCGCTCAAACGTCTTTTGTTTTTTCATAATGTCACGATGCATTTTGTCCATTAATAAACTGGCACACTGAAATACTTCCACGGGAAACCTGTTGTGATACAGTGCTATGATAACATTTTCAATCATTATTATTGTAATATGGTTGACTAGTTAATACGTTAACAGAAAACAGCAAATCAAGGCTTCGAGTAAAGTAAAACAGTTAGATACCTTATTATTAATTATATAATACTTTGTTCGATGGCATATAAGCATTTTCATATCCAGTAAAGTGCTTACGATATCACGGATTGCTATGCACAATTCTTGACTCATCGCTGTAGGAAAGATAAAGAAAAATGTGAGCAAATCTCTTATTCATCAAAGGAAGGAAAAAAAGGGAAACTGACCACACTTAAAAGTGTTGGACAAAAAATGTCCACAGATAAAAGTTTATTTACAAGAACAAATATTTATTAATCAGGTGTGTACTTATTTACATACTATTTTATTTTTTGATTACAGCTTGATTCCACATTGGATTTTTGGTAAAAGTATGGAATTGTCAGTATGTGATATATCGGTTGCGCAAATTTTGCAGGCCGACCATAGATATCAGGTGTGCGTCGGCAGGGGATCGAACCCCTCGGACCATGTGCACAGTCGGCGAGAGTCCTAACCACTGTGCCAACGACGCACAAATCTATCCGATGTACGAATCTATCACATCAAAAATGATAATAATCACAGAAATCATGTGTTAACTGGGTTTGGGTGAACACTAAAGTCCACTGATTGGAATATACCACATCACATGACCTTGATGATTTAGATAGATGTGTTTGTATATTCTCCCATTGATGAGGAATATCCTGAGTTGTGATGGGCGAATTTGAATCTTTTGCAATTCCAATAACTGACTTAATGACAAGATTTCAAACTCTTTGTTGGTTTGTTTTATTTTAAATACACTATGAAGGCTATGAAATGTGCTACAGAAAAAGAATTATGCGAACACGAGAAAGGAAAGGTGATTGAAAAATCTATATATAGGGAACGGCAAAATGGAATAGGTGTGAGTGCTTACCGAGAATAGATTCAAAGAAGTATTGATTACGGGAAGCTGTAACATCACTTCCGACCTATAGCTGCCGCCTTGACGTGGTGGTCGGGTTTGCACATCGCGATGACCCAACAAGCTGCACTGGCTGGAACCAATGTTCGTAAAGGTCCTGCCATGCCAGGAGGATTGTTAGAATAGCGATTAGACTAGAAGCAGTTACCGGAATGAGGTAAGATTCATTTTACACTAATCTCGGGAGTCTGTGAGCAAACACGTACCGCCGGAAGAAAGGGATGTCAAAGCAGTACGGTGTTTCCCTCAGGTGACCAGAATTCCAGCTATCCTGTCTCTCCATTTTGGAGAGAGGTGGTTAGAAAAGGTCTGCCCGATACATTGTATATCCCAGCAACTTTGTGAAGTACGCTGATGATTTAACAGTTTGAATGGCTGTTAACTCCCAGCTAGATTGTACCAAAATAAATAGCTTTCTGTCGGGAGTCAGTAAATGGTCTGAGTCTAATGGTCTTAAACCGAATCATTCTAAATGTCGAACTGTTAATTTCAGCTTATGATGTAAAAGAAAGTTAAAAGAAGTCATCCATTCTCATGACAGTTGTAAGATTGATGACAATGATTTAGGAATCAAATCAAATTAAGTATCTTGGACCTATTCTCTCTTCTGATCTCTCCTGGTCTTCCCATGTTTTAGCGATCTCCAGTAAAATATTCCGCCAGACATTTTACATAAAGAAGTTAAGGCACTCGGGTATAACTCAACCCCTCCTCTTACAGTTCATAAACTCTTGCATCCTACCTATTCTTCTTTATTGTTCACCCCTATTCTTTCCTGGTTTACTTAAAAAGCACTATGTCACAATTCGTATAATGCTGATGACTGTCAGCCACGTCTCTCATATGCAAGTTTACGCCATCTTTGGCTTAGTAGATGTGATATCCGACTGGCTGGCTGTCAACCAAAGGGCATAAGAACTGCTCAGTGGGAGTTCACTCTGTCCTCCTTTAAAGCTGTGAGATTTGACCATTGAAGGTGGAAGATACGAAAATGATAGCTAGCTGCCTTTCATCATTGGTGTCTGCGTTCTATCTCCCGTGTGAAGTGGTATAATAAGGCAAGCAATATTGAGGTTAGGCATCCATTGAGTGCTAGATATGTGGGAGGGGAAATCAATCGACGAGGTCGTGAATCAGTAACACCGATTAGTGAGATGGTTAGGACATGTGTTACGCCTGCAATCCTAGCCATCGCCTTCTTCGACAATGGGCAATGTCAGCTGACATAGAATGAATCAGGTTTCAATAGAGCTACTAGTGCTAGTGGTGGTCAAACCAAAACATGGCTTTATCAATGGATGAAATCCACAACAGTTAGTTTAAGCCAGCCAGTCACGTAGGGAGGCGTATACTCCCAGGTTGGTTGAGGTCAACAGGATTGCAAAAAGCGGTGTCTGGAGGCGATTGGTGATATGGCTGGCTTAAAATCATCGTTTTCTATGATGGCGCAAATGCATTCACTCATTGTGTTTTGTGATATCCAATTAAACTATATTGTTCTTTCATATTGCTATTCTCTTCCCCTCACACTTCTGTTTATTATCCCTCTTTACTCTTTTCTCTTCCTTTGTTTGTGCCACATAGAAAGGGGCGTGGCAACTCAAACTGCTGCACATCAATGCAAAGTTCTGTGCTGCAACCAGTCAACCAGTTAGTCGGACTTCACTTGTACTTACCAGTGCTTAAAATTTAACGTGACCCATTAGTGTATCAAAAAAACTTGAAGTTTCACTTTCAATTCAAGGAACAAAAACGAAAAATAGCATTCATTAATAAATGCATTTGAACTTTTTTGAACTAATGAATTTTCCAGGCTCATTATTTGAACCAAAATATTTTTTTAAAATAACAAACAAAGAATGCAAGAATGCTAAGTTAGAACAACTGCTGAAAAAATGGATAGTAAAATGATAAATCACGAATAAATCACTTACTTCGGATATTTATTGAACGATCAGTGTAGTTTGATAGGTATGTCAGTATCTCGTAACGCCAATATCTTCGGTATATGATAACTCCTAAGTCGGATAATGGACGTTCAGGGGTACCAATACGTTGTTCTAGTCGGCTTAAGGTATAACCTATGAGGTAAATATATATACATATATATATATATATATATATATATATAAAATACACATTCACTTGTAAATAGGTGAATTTAACCGTGTTTCAATTAAAGCCAATTACTTACACTATTTTAAACGGTGAAATTTTATTCAGCTTATATAAACACAGAGGAATCATGCAATTAGTATTTTTTGTAGAATTTCATACTCAACAATTTCTTCTGCCAGCTGAGATTTATTTAAAGCTGAGCCCGATGGATCCATATAAGAACAGATTCATAGGAATATAATAAATTATCCGTATTTCGCCTTTCACCATAAGCTGTAGAAATATCACAAACAGCTGAAACATAGTTTCCAGGATATTTTTATATGACCATATTAATGTCATATCCACTTGTCTAAGTAAGTATAGCCAGTGAACATGGGGATATTTTTTTTTCCATCTGCTTACATTTTTGAACAAGAAGCGGCAGTGATTGTTCTAACCATTTGCAACAAACTGAAGAACATCACCAACTAATACTTACTTGCGCTCAATAATACTAATAATAATTTGCTTTATTCCAAAACAGTTCTCGTGATACAGAATGGAATTCTCACCATTTCACTACATACAGTATTGCGTCCAGTTTGTACATTAATAATAAATAAGATTCTACATGGATTATGGGTAATCTCAGTTAATTTTGACAACAACATATTGGCATGTCGGTAGCAAACCCGAAATTGAACAGAGTGTTTGAAGGTGTTAGAAAAGTAGACACTAGCATATTTACTGGCCTAAGCAGTAACAAGAGGTCGAGATATGCAGAGTGTGAGAGAACGAAGAATGCTTGAGTTTTTGTAGTTGCTAGTGCGAGCATATAGTTTTCTATATAGGCTTCTGGTCTGTCTGCCTGATGAGATACAAGGGGAGAGCTGTGAATGAAGAGGATGGTGTGAGCTAGATAAAATGGATTTATCCCATTTTTCACATGAGTCCATGTGCCTGTCAACCAGAATATTAACAAGCTGTTTAAGTGGCACGTTGCTTACCCTGCTGACAACCTTTAACACCCTGCGTAATAAGGTATAGTTTTTCTTCAGTAGCCAGCCCTGGATATACTAAGGGGGAACAATAGATAATAATAGGGAGGATGCACGAGTTAACGAATCGTAGGAGTTAGGGTTGAGGTATGCAGATCAGATGGCTACTCGGAGAGGATAAGCACGAAGGAATTGTGATAGTAAACCAACAAATTTAGAGAAGTGAACGGAGATGGACTGGACATATAGTGAGAACATATCTAAATGGTATCACACACCAGTTAGTTCTTCAAATGGAAACCGATGTGTGTTAATCGTACGTCCAATTGACATGGATCAGGTCATGAAGAAAATTGAGAGTTTAAAGCAATTAGTTTGCTTTATGAATTTCGACAACACAAGAAGTCGTAGTTTATCTGAAACGTGTAATTTATTTGCGCAACACATTTCGGACATTCTCATCACACACTAGTACTTGTCATACACAACTTTACAGAAGGCATGAATCATTACAATAAAGGTCAGACTGTGTACAGGTCAACACCTGGTTAACACTGATCATTCCATTTCAACAAACGCCTCCTTCAAAGTAATCTACAGAGTCAAGAATAACCTATCAAAGGATATACGGTTTCATCTTCTTTGTATTACTGAAGCTCTGGTCATTCACATCGAAAAACCGGACCTGTGCATACAAAAGGAGATAACTCCAACCACTTCTACTGTCATGGTAAAAACTTTTTTGTTTTGATTTTATTTGAGTTTTTTTATTTTGACTGCTTAATTTTGTTTCTTTGCCTGTCCTTTAATTGCTTATAATTCTTGTATTCATTTAGAACTCTTACGTAATTTTGTATTATCTACTTTGTTGTTCCTATGTGCATCCTGAGTAAAACTCATCAAACTATTCATATTATTACACAACTTCTTCTAACAACTGTTTATGATAACTCATCACATTTGTTACTACCCTAATTTCATTAACACATAACTTTCTCGACTGATTTTGTATTACGTAACTCCAATTACCAATCTTCACCTGTTTAGTTAAAATGACTATAACCAATTGTAATTTTGTTTAAGTAACTTGGAAATCCCCATTCAGTCATATAAAAGAAGGCGTTCAGCGAAGATACTCTTTTCGGCGAATTCATTCACTGAGCTGTACAATCGCATATATATACAATTTTGTTAGTGTGTGTGTACATTAGTATATGTATAAAATTTGGGCACTGTGGTATTAAGTAATTCCATATTAGTTTGATTATTAAATGAATCACACAGTGAAACAATATTGTATACTGGATGACGTTTCGAACACAATTTATTGTTCATAATCATATCAATTGATATGATTATGAACAATAAAGATTACATCCCTTGTAGATTTAATGAATGAACGAATTTCTTTTGTATGCAGAGTTCAGTTTGACAAACTTAATGTACACATACATACAAAATAAGACATATATATTTGCGATTGTACAGCTAGGAAAATGAATTCGCCGAAAAGAGACTCTTCGCTGACCAACGTGTTTTGTTTTCATTAATGCCTGGATAGGGATTATCCATGAACAGGCCAAGGTCACAAATAATGGGTAGAGAGATGATGCAAAGGTTTGGTTACGAAAGAAAAAACGAAACAAAGAAGGGGTTGAAATATTATGAAGTAGATGGATCCCTGGTTCTAAATTGGATTACCAAAGCAGGTTTAAAGTGATAACAAATAACTTTTGAACGCAAAAGACAGGTTCAAGTCTTTTTATGACCAAGGCTTCAACGAATTTAAGTATGTGACCCAACCTTGTTTTTATATATGCGTTTAAAGGCATTGGTGAAATCAATCTTGTGACCCGTCTCTATAATGTTCTTCGCTATAGATGATGTTGGACATCTATTTCCGGGATCAGTTGTATCTGGCGATTTTATTTGTCTTTGCGGCCACTTTGGAATAATAATAATAATAATCACTTTATTCCACAACAATAACAATTTACAGCATGGAATTTTCAGCGTTTCTTTTACATATTGCAATGGTTTAGCTCTGTTTATAATTATATAAATGTATAAAATGTTAAAATATTGATAGTTAATAGGAAAAAAAAAAAAAAAATAATAAAAATAAAAAAACCCAACAAAATCACACCATTTCTAGGTCATAGTGAATAATAAATAAATAATATAACAAATAACACATGCATTAATATGCATCATTACATTTTATAGTTTAGTTATTGATTCAAAAGTTGTAAAAGTTCTTTTCTGATATTTGTCTCTTCACACAATACTCGTGCCAAATATGGAACGGTCGAATTTTTATATTTTGTAGTACGAGCATAAATGTTTATAAAATTTCTTCTGGTCTTACCCGAAGAGATACAAGGAAACAATTGTGAATAAAGAGGATGTTCACTATCAGATAAGATAACTTTAGCTAAGTGTTTACAAGAATTCATATGCCTATTGACAACAGTGTCATTTAGTTCAGTCAAAGGGATAGCACTGACCCTACTTACAGCCCTCAATGTTCTTCGTAGTATTATATGATCTTTCTTGAGTAGCCCAGGGAAGAATAATGGAGAACAATAAAGAATGATGGGCAAAACACATGAATTAATAAATTGTATGATAAGAGATTGAGTTATACCTGAGTGTCTCAACTTCTTTATGTAATAAGTCAGACGGAAAACTTTCTTAGAAACTATAAGAATATGAGACGACCAGCAAAGGTTTGACGAGAAACTAATGCCAAGATAAGAAACACTTGACTTACTCTCTATCATGGTACCATCAATATTACAACAATCATGAGATTGAATCAATCCATGCATGTCTTTTTCACTTCTCAAGCTGAAATCAACAGTGTTACATTTAGTTGGATTTAGTTTAAGACCATTTGAGCCAGACCAATCCTTAACTTCAGCTAAGAAGCCATTCATATGGGAACAATCCGATGTGGAAACTACAGGGACAGAAACGGTCAGATCATCAGCATACTTAATGAAGTTAACTTTGGGTGAGTTCGGAAGGTCATGCAAAAAGAAAGAGAAAAGAAATGGAGAAAGTACTGCACCTTGAGGCACACCACTTTCAGTTAGCTGAGAAGTGGAGCGCTTTCCAGCCAAAACAGTATGCTGTTTCCTATCCTTAAAATAAGAAGACAGCCATCTAGTTGCCCAGGACTCTGTTTGAGCTGAAATCATCTTTCCTAATAAAAGTGTCCTAGGAACAGAGTCGAAAGCTGCAGTATAGTCTAAAAAAGCTGTTCGAACGAACTTAGCACCCTTATCAAGGCAGGAAACAATATTGTGGTGTAGTACAATGGCTGCATCTAATGTACTTCTTCCACACTTATAAGCAAACTGCTTAGGGTCACTAAAAGCTTTTAAAGAAGGTTTAAGAATATTCAAAAGAAGTTTCTCCATAGTTTTCAAAAAAGGAGATGTTATAGCGACTGGTCTAAACTTTATACCTGCTCCAGAAGATGATTTCTGTACAGGTACAACCTTGATTTCTTTCCAGTCAGCAGGTACCGTTTCCCTGTTAAATGATGCGTTAAAGATTTGAGTAAGAGGATGACACAAGATGTCTGCACACTTTTGAAGAAGAATGCTTGGTACACCATCTGGACCAAGGCTGTGTGTTGGATTTAATGACTTCAAACATAATAGTACATCCTTTTCTTCAAAACCCGGAAAATGACCATTTTCTTGACTAGGTACATCAGGTACAACCATATTAATTTGTTTCTTGATAAATGATTTGTTTAAAGCATTAACATCAGAATAAGCATCAACGGACATTTGTTTTTTACTTGTAAGTTTATTGAAAAGTTTCCAAATGTTTGAAGGATTTTTACATGATAAAAATTTTTCATTATATAGTCTGTTCAACCTTTCTATTTCAATTTTTATAAGGGTGTTTATTTTACGGACACCAGTATTATCACAATTCTTATACAACTTCTCTTTTTGTCTTCTAAGTTTTTTCAGTTGCACAGAAGAGATTCTGTCAAATCTCGAAAACAGTGTTTCATAAGGACAGCAAATTTCCAAACAAAACTTCAGATAATCGGTTATATTAGAGACAGTAGCATCCAACTTATCGTCAGTAAATAGTTCCCAGTTGGTATCATGCAACATGCTTCTTAATGCTAGAATGTTGTCATGGGAATATGAACGTTCATGTATCTTCTTTGTTAAATGACTAAACAATTTTCGTTGTAACTTGCCGTACACTTTCGGTAAAATACGAATAATGCAGTGGTCAGAATTTAACAAAGGAGCTCTCCTTCGGGTTTCATATACATCACGGTCATTTATGAAAACCAGGTCTAGTGATTTGTCCAGACGTGTATTAAACTTGACTAGATTCTCATGACCAAGCGAAGTAAGAAAGCTGTGATCACATAAATTAAAATCACCACAGACTATAGACAACGAGTTTCCGAATGCAGGAGCAGCGAATTCAGTAAACTCATCTGCAAACATAACTATATTAGAAAGGCTACAATTGGGTGTTATGTAAATATTTGTTATGTATATATAAGAATATTTACTTAAGTGTTTTGGGCGACACCTGACGGTTATGCAATCTATATTGTCATTAGAATAATTGAAGCAAACGTGATTTGATGTAGACCAATTTGTGTTTATAAATGTGGCTACCCCTCCTCCATATTTTTTCTTGGAACTATTTCTATCTTGGCGAAAAACTTTATATCCATTTATTGAAACTAGATTATCATCATAATGCTGGTGCAGCCAAGTCTCTTGTATTGCTAAAACGCCAGCATTTCGATAAACATTGGAATACATTAGGGATTGAAGATAATCCATTTTGTTGGACAGGGATCTACAATTAGTGCTAACGAGTTCAGGAACAGTCATTTGATTAATTTGTGTACGTTTCAGTGCACGCTGCCAGCCACAGTGATGCTTTTTTCTCAATTTTTGTGGATGACACAACGCGGTAGGTTGTAATGATTTTAAAAATGCGCGATTATATATAATACGATTAGGACACATTATTGATAAATTAAAACAAAATTAAAAGAGCAAACCAAAGCAATTTTGCAAAATGTTGTAAGGTGGAATTTTTGGTAGCCCTATGTTCAAGCAGGCCGCCTATAGGTTCTGTAACCCTAACCTGCAGAGACCGATGGATCCCCCTATGTGTATCCACACATACATGTAAACTAATACCACAACAGGATGTGACGCTACCGTTCGGATACTGTGGGGGTTTACAGGACAGCATAGTCCCCGTTTTCTCTATGAAGATAAGTTTAGCTACATGGTAAGTCCTATTAACTGCTGCCTTGAGTCTTTGCTTAGTGACCAGACTTTGTTGATCACCTCTGGGTGGCAAGGATATATAAACATCCTTTTTGGAAGCTGATTGGATCGATATAGTTCTTTGGCTGACACTTTCGTAACTCCTAATACATCTCAGTGTGTAATTGTTATCTAACAATATTTCAGTGAGATGTTGTCTTTCATCATAAATTGTGTCGGCAGTACATGTACGGTGAATCCGTTTGAACAAACTCTTGACCAAAACCTTTTTATACTGTAGTGGACTTTCTGTAGACAGATTGTTTTGCTTATCCATCTTCTCGGAGGGTTATGAGTACACCTAAAAATGGCAAGCAATCATTATTCTCTTCAACATATTTTAGTGATATGATGTTTTGTACTCTATTGATGAGGTTTAGAACTAATATAACGTTTGTCGGTTTATTACAAATGACTGTTATATCATCTACGTATCTCTTATAAAAATAAACTCTTCCAATTACGTCCTCCACTAGTTTCTCAACATGCGATATATATATATATATATATATATATATATATATATATATATCAGCTAACAATGGACCTAGGGGGCTTCCCATAGCACAGGACTGAATGCGATGGAGATGTACTTCTGAAGCAGACTTATTCCACTCGGAGCTCAACGAATGGATAATAATAATAAGTAGCAACCTGATATTGGCTACTAATGTTCTTGGCGGTTAGTCAAAACTTCTTAGATGAAAACAGTAAAAATTTAGAAATTCACAGGGGTTAACATTAAAATCTCCTCACTACATATACACATGCACCATACATGGAGATATATTACTCCACTAATGAAAATAAAACATACCTAGGAATATTAGGACAATGCTATGACTGAAGATTATGCAAAACCACAAGGTGGATTTCGATACAAAACAACATCAATTTAGTGAAAAGATTAAAATTCGCTTGCACCTAGTTAGAAATTTGGAGTAAACACAGGAGACAGACAAGGGTGCTCGCTTATTATCCCCAATGAATGATATTCCTAATTGTGGTGAACTGACTGGATTATGCGTCAGACAGTGAGTGGGAGACAAGAAGACAGGGATATCCTGGACAGACGTGAAGAACCTAGAAGACCTGGATATCGCGCGTGAATGATTTATGTTTGATGTAAAACAATATCGAAGACTTACAAGCGAAAACCGACAAACTGGTCGAAGAAGCAGCCGGCGAAGACAGGACTCCAGGTGGGCATAGGTGAACGAGACGGAGGTTATGAAAATAACCAACAAACCAACCAACCAACCAACAACAACAACAACAACACAAGAAATGAGTGTTGACCTACCCAAAAATCGACAGAATTCGGAAACCAGTGTTTCATCATAATCAGTTGGGTTTTTTTTCTAAACTGCTGTTGACTGGCAATGAAATCTACTTATGCGACTAAAACAAGTGCCTCAACTAAATATAAACTAGTAATTTGCATTTGACGATGATCAGCAGTTCTGGATTAGCCATCAAACAAACCTGCAAAGGAAATCCGTGTTCATTTATGCATCTAGATATATGATTGCAGATTTTCAGAAAAAGAAACGTATCAACAGACAAGACAATAATTAAGCATTTATTAAATTCTACAAACTCGTACTTACTCATTTCAATAAGCATACGACCAAAACCACGACATTGATACGGTGGTAGGATAAGAATACATGAGAGATTATAGTGTACTGATTTGCTTGCAGAATAATCAATCTCAACATCAGGTTTTTGCTGTGGAAAAGACACATAAAAAAGGCATAAATCATGAAAGACTAACTACAAAGATAAGTGTACACTACTGGGGCTTTTACGGGGTGACTAATGAGAATTTGGAAGTCAGAATAAACCTAAAGGCTAATTAATAAAGTTTATTAATCATCACAACATCACAAAGGCACAACAACAAGGTGATGTACTAATAATGAAGGTCAGAAAATCTAACGATATACCGTGCATTCCACAATGCGACATTACATTAACACGGTAACGACAGAACCCAGGAAGGAGCATTTGGTACCAGAATTGCGCAATTTAAAAAATATATAAAAACCTCTAATTGAAACGTCAATTAACAAAAGTTATGCATATCCCGATAGATTTGTCTTCATCATTTCATACTTCCGAGATTTTTTCATAATTATTTATCTTCATTTCGAATCTCTACATAAATAATCTAAAGTTGCGTTATTCCAGATTTTTACAACAACAAAAAAGCCATCCCCATCTACTACTTAGGCGTTCTTGTCATTAGCATATGCTACACAGGATCATGCACCACCACACTACCTACGACTTACATAATATGTGTGATTCTGCTCCACTAATATGGCTGAAATCAATGAGCTATGCCAAAATATTATAATATCATGTGTTTACGATCATAGCGAATGATCTTTTGGCTGCCTAACGCAAACAACACCAGATTGTAGAATATAACTAACTGCTTAAAGTGATACTATGGTGAGAGCTCGCCACTAGCCAAATTGGTGGACAGTAATTTACGTCAATGTTTACGTCACCAATATATATATATATATAACTAGCAAGCTAGTTAACTAGGCGGTCCCAAGCCTGGGTAAAGTGGGAGGGTTGGGGGTGGGGCTAGCAACCCCACACTACTAAACCTATCAAACCGCTACAGAAACTTCAGTGTACAGAAGATTCACTAAAAATACGAAAACTTCAAAAAACAACGATTTTATTCTTCGCTAGAACTGAAGAGGCAGAATGATGTCAACCAATGTGTATTCTCTCGATAAAAGCAAGTTTAAGAATCGGGACGTGAAACCTTCGTGCAACGTACGAGACTGGGAAGGCTGCCCACGTAGCCAAAGAAATGCAAAAATGTGGCAGAGAAGTGCTGGACATCTGCGAGAGCAGATAAAATGGAAGTGTACTGTCAAAACTGGTCACCCAGACGACAACTACGGACACACTGGGGGAGTGGCTATAATGATATCACCAATGGCAACCAGACACCTAATACAGTAGGAACCAACTTCATCCGGGATTATGACAGCAAGATTCAACTCAAAAGGGAGGACGGAAGGGCACAATCATCCAATGATTCATACCTGCAAACAACGCAGAACAAAAGAAGGAAGGGTTTTACAGACAACTACAAACAGTAATGGACAACAAAGTGTGACATCAAAATCCTTATGGGCGATATGAATGCCAGCCGAACGGGGAGCAGATGATACAGGAAGAGAACTCATCATGGGTCGACAGGCTCTCGCTCTGAGAAATGAATGACAAGGGGGAATTATTTACAAACTTCTGAGCAGGGTGTACAAACGCAATGATATACACAAAACAACATGGATTTCGCCTGACAGACACACTACAAAGCAGATAGATTTCATTTCAATCCCAAGGAAGTGGAGACGCAGTCTGCTGGATACAAATTCGAGAAGGGGAGCACATGTGGGATAAAACCATCATCTATTTCAAGGAACTTTCATGGTGAAGCTGAAATCCCTGAAAACAAATGTAGACAGGCCACAATTCAAGTCCAACATTCAGAAACTGAAAGACAAAACTACAAGGGATACATTCACTACAGATCAGATCAGAGCAGAGTCGGATACACTACGTGTTATCACTGAGGAAACCTGTGTGGAAAAATACTGGAACTCTCTGAAAGCAATATTCAAGGAAATGTGTACAACTGTCCTAGGTAGAAAGAAAAGATAAGACAAGGAATGGCTCTCAGAAGATAACTGGAAGGTAAAAGAAGAAAGGAAAATGGTAAAAGAGATGACTCAATGCAAAGGTGGGAGACAGAAGGAGAAGCTGAATTCACTGTACACTGCTCTGAACAAAGAAAGAAGTGAAGAAGAGTGCTAGGAAGGACAAAAGACAATTCTACGACACTAGCAACTGAAGCAGAACAGGCCTCACGCAAAAGAGAACTCAAGACACTATATCAGATAACCAGGTCTCTATCTGGGAAGAGATCAACCCAGGTGATGAAACAGATAATAGATGTTCAAGAGAACCTGACTACGAAGGAGGAGAAACAAATAAAACAATGGACTGATCACTTGAAAAGGCTCTCGAATCGTTCATTACCTGCACCTCGCACAGAAATACCACTAACAACAGGCATACAACTGCCAGTGGACATCAGTCCTCCAACGAAGGCTGAAATACTAAATGCGACCAAGCTTCTGAAGTCCGGAAAGGCCGGAGGACCAGACGGAATTCTCCCCTAAGCACTGAAAACGGACCTAGAGACTGCTGCAGCCATGCTCATGCCAATACTGCTAAAGGATTGGAAGGAAGGAAAGGTACCTACTGATTGGAAGAAAGGCTACATCGTCAAGCTGCCAAAGAAGGGTGACTTACTCCTCACTCTCCAAGAACTAACTGGTGTGGAATAATGCTCTTGTCCACGCCAAGTAAAATACTAACTCACATCATCCTGGAGAGAAAAAGATGCACTGGATACAGAACTCCACTCACCCCTCCCCCAGGAACAAGCTGGATTCAGGAAAGGAAAATCATGTGCTGATCAAATTCCAACTCTACGCATCATCATCATCATCCCAGAACAAAGCATAGAATGGCAGTCAAACGACACCGTAACTCAACTTCATCGACTTCGAAAGGGGCCTTCGAGAGACAGCGTTGACCGAGAAGTAATTCGGAAAGTACTTCAACACAACGACATGCAGTGCCCAAGTCTTTATTAATCTCATTCAACAGCTGGCTGGCTATATGATAATGACACTTATCAGGTGATGCACAATGGAAAACTCAGCGAGGCTTTCGAAGTACATACAGGAGTAAGATAAGCTGGCTGACTGCCTATTATCACCAACAATGCTATCCTTAATTATGGTGGACTGGATTATGCATCAGACTGTGCACAGGTAGCGGGGAGTTAGGAATACGGTGGACGACCAACGACAAGACTCTAGAAGATCAGAATTTCGCAGACAGTATATGTCTAATGTCATACAGACTCGAAGACTTAGATGCAAGCGAAAACCAAAAAACTGGCTGAAGGTGGCAGCGAAGACAGGAATGCAGGTGAACACAGAGAAGACGGAGGTGATGAAGATAACCAATGAACCGCAACAAGAACCAGAACCAAACACAATCAACAGGAGACTTAACAGAGGTTACCTCCTTCACTTATCCGGCTAGGAAGCATCGTTTCAACTACAGAAAGATTGAGGATACCAAAGCTAATCAGAATCTGAAAGGCAAGACACGCCTTCATCAACCTGAAACCCATTTGAAGTTTTCTGCACTCAGCATATGGAGCAAGATTCACATTTTCAAAACCGACGTGAAGTCTATTCTTGTATATGGGTCAGAAACTTGGCTAGCGTGTCACGAAATGGATTTCCGACAGGTTGGAGGCTTTCATCAACAGATGCCTTTGCTGGCTCCATACTGAAGATCAAGTTGCTGGCCAGAAAGAATTAGTAACAAGAAACTCTGGCCGGGAACAAACCAACCAAGAGCCGATCGCTCAACAAATATGTAGGAGAAAGTGGAGATGGATTGATCAGACATACATCGAGGAGACCGTCGAATGACACCACGCACCAGGCCATTGCTCGAGTGGAATCCAAATGGGAAGCGACGAGTAGGTCATCAGTTCGAGGGTGACATGGAGGAGATAGAGAGATAGGGGAAGATGAGAAAGTTCGGGAAATCGTGGACCCAGATGAAGAGGACGGCACATAACAGAACAAAGTGGAGATGTGTTGTTGAAACCCTATGTTCCACTCGGAACCCAAGGGAACAATGATATTTGCTAATTTATGAATGAAAATGAATTCGCCGAAAAAAGACTTTTCGCTGAACTATGCGTTTTGTTTTCATCATATTCACCTTTTATCTTATTTTCTGAATGACTGCACATTAATAATACACATTTACTCGACAATATTAAATAACGAACTACCATTCCCTCCATATTATACATGTACCCTAATACAGTTTCAGATATAATTTTCACATACCTCCAATGACTATTTATGGATTTATAACTGTAGAGTCTGAGGGAGAATTTATCGAAAGCAACTATCCACCCGAAATCATTTTGTTTTAATTACACTATGGGGTTTTTCGATAGATATATCTATATACACACATGTATGTGAGGGAAACCATGGGGAAGTCTCTTACGTGAAATCGGAACTCATTTTGATATGGAAGTTTTCAGACGGTAGATGTTACGGATTTCCTGGAATAATTTGTGCGCCAAGTGAGATTGTATGAGTATAAGTTATTTGAAATAAGTCGAGAGTGTTGAATAAAACAGATCAAAACAAAAAAATTTTTTGAACGTCTCTACATGCAAGTCACAGCTTCTTCTGCATATAATTATTCAAAAGTTTATTAGGCATTAAAATATATATGGTCAAAAATTGCATAAATTGAAGTCAGTCCTGGTGAAGAAGCTGTGCCTTGCATGGAGGAACGTTCAGAAAAATCTTGTCTTGATTTTTTCTTAGACACTCTCATATATTTTGTGCTGTCTACTAAGACCTTCGGATGAAGTTAGTACTAAGCTAGGAAGAGTTTAATAATTACGGGCGACAAATTGAGTTCGAAACATTGTCCGTTTGTTAATACCGTATTACTGTGTGTTGGTTATATCACATAAATTCATGTAATATGTAATTATATTCTAATACAGCAGCCAAACTTTACTCTTACATTAAAACAACGATATGAAGTTAATACTAGAGTGCATAACTTAACATCACTGTACACTGTATTCAATACACTATATGTAGCAACGTATTTTAAGAATTACCAATAATTCAAAGACATCATTCAATATTCCTAACAAATTAAAGCCAAAAAAAAAGAAAGTCACCTCCTTTCTTCCTTCTTTACGATAGATAACAGTGCAAATCTACTAATAAATACTGAAAGTCGGGCGGTTAATATACAATTACATATGACTGCATAACGCTCAAACAAAATGAAGATATAAAATGACTTCCATATTAGTTTGTTTATTAGATGTATCACCACACAGTCAGTCAGTGAAACAGTATTAGTATTTACTGGATGAAAAAGTTTCGAACACACACACACACACAATTCATTATTGGTGTTCATAATCATACACATCACCAATTATAATCACACGACTTTGAAACTTGAGTTTTATACTTTCCTTTGTCTTCTCCTATTTCTCGTCATTGGGGTAGTAGAATTTTTCAGATATCTGGGTGGACAGGTTTTGAATCGTTCCTATTACATGTATTTGCAGTTGATTCGATAAACCAAGTTTCTGTTATGAATCTCTCCCTCCACTCTGTGACATTAGATTTTAAAACTATCATCCTATCTTATCCCATCCTATTGTATGGTTGTGTGTGATTGCATGTAGTGCTTGCGATAGCTGAACTATTCTCTAGATTTCTTATCTTATTTGGGTCAACCAATCTAGGTTTTTATGTTCGGCTAGTCTGAATGCCCCTGTTCTACTAGTTTGACCTCCGACACACGCTTGTGCGTCGGTGGCACAGTGGTTAGGACTCCCGCCGACCATGCACATGGTCCGGGGTTCGAGCCCACGCCGACGCACACCTTGATATCTATGGTCGGCCTGCGAAATTTGAGCTACCGATATCCATGCTGAAAATTCCATACTTGTACCAAAAATATAGTGTGGAATCAAGCTGTAATCAAAAATAAAAAAAATAAAATAAAAAATTTGACCTGACAATCATTCCAACCGGGTATTAGATAAACTAAATCGTTTTGTATTAAAGGCTCCACAGGATTGATTCTTTATCCGACAAAGCTTGTTTCTAATTGAGTTTGTGGGCAGTTTGAATGCCAGCTACTCTTATTCCTGCCTTGTTAAGAATTCTGCATCATCTTTCCGGGGTTCCTTCCTTGTATGGAATTACTACTGATGATTTAGATTCCTTATTGTTGGTGTCGTCATTAATATTATTATCATTATCATCACTATTTTAATTATCATTATTATTATTATCACTATCGCTACCATCACTATTTATTTTATTTTTACATTTCCTCACATATTTCTTGACTAATTTATCCGGGTAATTATTAATTTTCAAGGCTTCTTTTATGCGTATCACTTCTTGTCTTAGATTTTCCTCGGTACTACATAGTTTTTGCGCTCTGTCATTTAAACATTTCATCAATCCTATTTTTACTGACATAGGATGGGATAATCAGAAGTCTAAATATTTGTTTGAAGGTGTGGATTTCCTGCAAACACTAGTATTTAACTTCCCATCTTTCCTTTTTACGCTGCAATCTAATATTGGAATTGCCCTTTCCTTCCTTTCCAATTCATAAGTGAATTGGATTGCCTGTACCTTCGAGTTGATGTGTTCGAAAAATCTATCTACATCTTGTGTACAGTGAATGTGTCATCTACATAACTTCCTCATTCTTTTGGGGTGGGGGTGAACGTTTCAATCGCTATGTTTTCCCACATATCCATGAATATATCTGCTACAACCGGGGATATTGGTGATCCCATGGCAACTCCCTCAGTTTGTTTGTATATTTTTCCTTGGAATTTAAATAATGTGCAAGTCAGGCATATCTGCACCTCCAGCATTATGTCCTCAGGTGGCACTTTCGTTCTAATTCCAAGTTCTTGGTCAGAAATGAGTTCGTTTCTGACTGCCTCTATAGCTATATTTATTGGTATACGTGTATATAAACAGACAATGTCAAAACTAACCATTTTTCCCTCACTATCTAATTTTAAATTATCTAATCTATGTTTTAGTTCATAAGAATTAACTACTCCAGATTTCGAGTGGCTTTTTAGGGATTTAATTTAGCCATGGTATTAAATCCCTGTGGATCCTGTGGAGCCTTTAAAACAAAACAATTTAGTTTATCTAATACCCGGTTGGAATGATTGTCAGGTCAAATTTTTTATTTTATTTTTTTTTATTTTTGATTACAGCTTGATTCCACACTATATTTTTGGTACAAGTATGGAATTTTCAGCATGGATATCGGTAGCTCAAATTTCGCAGGCCGACCATAGATATCAAGGTGTGCGTCGGCGTGGGCTCGAACCCCGGACCATGTGCATGGTCGGCGGGAGTCCTAACCACTGTGCCACCGACGCACAAGCGTGTGTCGGAGGTCAAACTAGTAGAACAGGGGCATTCAGACTAGCCGAACATAAAAACCTAGATTGGTTGACCCAAATAAGATAAGAAATCTAGAGAATAGTTCAGCTATCGCAAGCACTACATGCAATCACACACAACCATACAATAGGATGGGATAAGATAGGATGATAGTTTTAAAATCTAATGTCACAGAGTGGAGGGAGAGATTCATAACAGAAACTTGGTTTATCGAATCAACTGCAAATACATGTAATAGGAACGATTCAAAACCTGTCCACCCAGATATCTGAAAAATTCTACTACCCCAATGACGAGAAATAGGAGAAGACAAAGGAAAGTATAAAACTCAAGTTTCAAAGTCGTGTGATTATAATTGGTGATGTGTATGATTATGAACACCAATAATGAATTGTGTGTGTGTGTGTGTTCGAAACTTTTTCATCCAGTAAATACTAATACTGTTTCACTGACTGACTGTGTGGTGATACATCTAATAAACAAACTAATATGGAATTACTTACTACTACAGTGCCCAAGTTTTACACGCATACAAAATAACTTCATTTTACTTCTATGCACATTATGTGAAAATATTTGACATGATGAAACATTAACAGAAATTGAATATCGTGGATCACTAGATTTTAAGCCAAACGGTTAGCCTGTAACCCACTAGCCTTGAAACTTAACGACTCTGAGCTTGAACCCCACACGAGTGTGTATAAGTAAGTGGATAAGTGCAAATGTAGAACGGAAACGTGGCCTTCTAGTGTCCTATGGATTCTAACAATTTTAATGGCTACTGTCGAGTAGTGGAAGTCATACAGTCAGTCACCTAGAATGCTCTCTAAGTTGGATATAGAATTTACACGCCAGATTTGTGTACTATTCCAACTTCAACAAGCAGAAGGAGTTCGACAAACTGATAAAGATTAACTAGTACTCAAGTGTTAGGTCTGGTATCCAATAATTTGCTTTCATGAAAAACTACATGCATCCGAAATGAAACTGAGCAAAAATGATATGTCGCTGGTAACGTTCATATTCAACAGAAACCAGACTTTTGTATAAATTCTTAATTACATAATAACTTCAAAATGAATAACCTGGTGTTTGTACAAAACTTTACTTTTCAGAGTCTATTTTAGTTTTTCAAATGATGAACTCAGAAAAGACCAGGAGAAATGACAGAAGTTTGCAAACTATAGTGTACTCTAATTTGTCCCTTTATTCAATATATATATATAACACCGCAATTTATGCTCACTAACCCTACAACTATACTAGGATGTAAGACAACAAGGCACACTTAGAGTTCTGATGATAATATAAATTGCAAACCTTAAATCCCCAAAACCCCATGTAGTAAAGTCAAGTATGTCCATAAAAGCAGATGGGTCTTCTCCACAAAATAAATAAAACCTCCATGACTGTCTACTTTAGGGTTGTAACATATCAAGTGATTGACACCAGAAAACTCAGCAGAGCCTTTGAAGTAAATACAGAAGTAAGGCAAAACTGCCTACTATCGCTGATAATATATGCCTGACTGCGGTCAACTGGATCATGCAGAAGACTACGGGGTTCGGGGAGACAGGAATATGTTAAACCGATAATAAGATTCTAGAAGATCTGGACTTTGAGGACGATTTATGTCTAATGTCACACAAACTCGAAAACCAACAGGTGGGCAGAAGAGGCAGCGAAAACAGGAATTTAAGCTAACATAGGAAAGATAGACACAATGTAGACACCTAGCCAACAACGATCAAAACAACACGCACCATTTACAATCAACGAACGAATTTTGAAGCAGGTGACTTCCTTCACTTATCCAGGCAGAGTCTTTGCAACTACAGATGGTGCCAAAGATGAAGGATGCAAAAGGAAGTCAGGATCCGTAAAACAAGATAGACCTTTGTTAATCTGAAATCAATGCGGAAATCTCGAAGAAGATACGGGTTTTCAACACTTTTCTGTGTCAGTGCTTTTACACAGTTCCAAGACTTGGCGAGAGCGTCACGGAAAACATCCCCTACAGTCTGCTCCAGGTTTCCAACAACAACAACAACTACCTTTAATCTATACTGAAGATTACATGGCCAGATAGAAGGGCTTGATAATAAGGAACTCTGGGAACGAATCAACCAACAGCCTATCCCCCCAACAAATACACCAAAGGAGGTGGAAACGAATCGGACACATGCTGAGGAGACCAATGAGCGCTATCACCTGTCAGGTCCTCGAGTGGAACACGAATGGGAAACGTGTTGGGTGTCTGAGGGTGAAATGGAGGTTACTGTTGGAGGAAAAGATGAAATCCTGTAGGTTGTCATAGAGCCAGCCAGAGAACGGGGTAAGATGGAGATGTGCCATTGAATCCCTTTGTTCTCATTAGAACTCAAGGGAAAAATAACAAATAATAACCTCAAAAGAAAATCTTATTGATGTGTAATGCAAAAATGCTACTCACCTTTGAAAAATAACCGATAATATGTGAACCCTCTTCATCTGTTTCCGTTAGTACATAGAACAAAAACTCTGGCACTTGGTCTTCTTCCCAGACAGTCTTTTGTTTCAAAAATAATTTGGCCAATAGACACAAATTTTGACAATATTCCTGAAGAACAAGCACAGACATCAAAAAACAGTCTTTTTATTCTCTGTGTGATTAAATGTTATAAAGAAACCAATCAGCTGACTAAGCTAAAATAAACAAATATTGAAAAGATAAGAAGTTTGTGGGGGGGGGGCAAAAACCAATAATAATAACAACAACAGCACTGCCCAACAGTTAATTTATGGAGTTACGAATACTTGATAGTGAGAAATATCAGAGAAATGAAGGTAACAATTACGAAAAAAATAAATTCATGGATGAGGGATAAGTAGCCGTATAGGTAGACGGAATAATCAGTTAACTTGAAGGGAATTCCAGGACTGTGTCGAGGATAATTACGGCGTTTGAAACACATCAATCACATATTGTGAAATAGTATTCGTAATATTATTTTGTTTTGGGGAAATCAACATCCTGTATTTGAAATATTAGATATGCTGGAGGATTACATCATGAGCTAACGTCAGTAAGAGAAACACTGCAAAACTTGGGAGTACTGAACAGCTGTTTCGTCCTAGTTTGGGACCCTTCGTCAGCACACACCCACACTGCGGGATTCGAACCCAAGACCTTCTGGTTACAAGGTGAGCTCGTAGACTGGGACCTGACCCGATGGCCCGTGAATTCTAACTTCTGCCACTTCATGACGAAACAGCTGTCCAGTACTCTCAGGTTTTCTAATGGTTCTCTAACTGATGTCAGCCCATGATGGAATCCTCCAACCAATCAAACAAAATCCTTGCAACACCAATACTTCAAAATATTATATATGTTTACTGAGTTTCATTCGAAATAAGCATACACATTGACTTCACTACACCTTAACAACAATATTCATACAATTTTTCAATAAATGACTCAGATGTCCCCAGGGCACCAGATTACACGTACAAAATATGTAATAAAATTATCTCGAAGGAAGTGTACAGTAACTGAAAACTCAAATCAGCTGATTCACAGAACACCTTCGAATAACACGGAAACAGAGAGTCAGTAAGACAAACACAAATAAATGCATACATAAATAAATAAATAGGTGGAAATGCATGGAAAGCATTTCATTATGAGCTGAAAATGCAATGAAAATGAGTAACTTCTCATATCCTACTGATTCTAACAGAAGTGAATAAACGAAGTTATGCGAGAGGCATGAGGTTTGCTTCTAGTGGCACGGGTGACTCGTAAGTATTCCCCACTGACTTTCATCGCTCATTCGAAACTGTGGAACATTGGTCCAGGTGCTCAAATTTTAACCAATGTCTCACCAGTTCGAAACTCCCTCTAACCACCGAAGTCTAGGTGGATCAGTAGCCTTCACAAAAATAGGTGTAGCTCATTGCCGACAGTTCATGGAATTGCGGCTGGTAGTCAGGTACCGCTTTGTTTCATTTTTATCTCATATATGTATTGATCGTATTGTATCTGCAATATTTTTAACACAAGGAAATAAAAACGTTGAAGTTACACACAAAAAAATAATGATGAAACAGACTTACTTGATAGTGTTCTCCATCAATTTCAAAAAACGATAAGTTGTCTTTCCGATACACTTCATTACCTGGTGGACAAGTTCGACCACATTTTGTCTGTAATTAAATTTTATAAGGAAAATGATTTGTGAGAAATAAAAGGAAGGATAACCTGACACCAATGGCAGAAGGATCCATGGTATAAAAATGATAAACAAAACAAGAGCCCAGCACTTACCGATAATATATATATATATATATATATATATATAGGCATTTACCAGGAATATTAGATTTCTTGAGTAGAGACCTCTCAAGTTATTCCGATATGTTATTCATTTTTATCAATTTTATTCGTTTGCGTTCCAAGTGGGACATAGGGTTTTAAGCTTTGAAATTTTAGTAGCAATTGTGTTACTCCTGTTTTATGGGTTGGGATTGCTAGCCTCACACTCAACCTTCCCTCTCTACTGGGCTTACTATCGCCTAGTGGGGGTTTAAGAGTGCGTCGGCCGCGAATCGAACTCCGTATTACGCGTGCAGGGTTGGTGAGTATTCCACTGTCGAACCACCGACGTACCAACAAGCAGAGCCTATTATTACACAGTTAATTACCTCTAAAGGCAACAAAAGGATACAATCTGCAGGATATTTTGTATACGTCAACACCAAGACCAATTTCACTCTTACGCATTGAACTTATAACAAACTCAGGACATTTTTATAATCATTAATTGTCTGAAGGTTTATAAACACAGTAATATTATGACCAATAAATACTCTGTACTGAACACGCCAACCAGTATGTGCATTGTACCACTGTGTTCTGAGTTGAAAAAACAACAACAACAGCAAAGGATCTAGTATGGAATTAAAACCCACCAAATTTTCTCACTGACACCATTATGTAACAGTCTTACGCATTATTTTTGTGGGCCAAAAGAAAAAATTAAAATCACATAATGAAAACGAATAATAATAATCAAAATAATAATGGTCAAGGATAGAATAAACTACTTGCTTTATGGCGGTGGTATGTCACATAATAGCTCATTCCTGTTAAACAAAATTCACAGATGTATATGCAGGGGAGACAGCACAGATCAGCCGGATAGTTACTCTGGTACCATGGCTCTATATCCCAATTTCCAAGAATCACAGAACGTATACGCTGTTCTGTAGCGGATCTAGTGTCTTCTGTGTATGCTTAAATTTGAAGTAAGAAATTTAAAAATTACCACTCGTTGAAGAATATGAAGCTATTCGGGCACACAAAAGCAAATGTTCTCTAACTTCCATTTCCTAAATGATGAAAATAATAAAGCAGAAACAATAAACTCAGATTTAAAAAAAAATGAAAATATGCACTGAACCACGACAGAAATAAAACACAATTCGGAGAAGGAAAGTTCTTTCTGACCAGTGGTCATTTTCAGCAGCCTGAATATATATATATATATATATATATATATATATATATGTTGAGATCAAATTTAGGTGTTTCCATAAGTTTATAAGTCGTAAAGTGTGGCCTTTTTTTATCATTAATTCTTTGCATTTTGAGTGGAAAAGAGGGCTTCATACTTGAAGCTTTCAAGTTTCAGTGTCCATGCTGTTCTTTCCTACGGGGTGGAGTTGCTAGCCTAGTGGCCAAACTTCCCTCTTTACCAGACTTACTACCTATCAAGCGAGGCCTAAGAATGCGTAGGCTAAGGATAAAAACCTAGGCCATGTATTTGGTTGGTAGGTGTTCTGCCACTAAACCACTAAACGTAATTGAGATTAACACGAATACTTGTTGATTTTTCGGAGAAGTATTTAGCAAGCACCATAGGCGCAAAGGGATGCACAAGGCAAAATAATATAGCATTACACCTACAAATGAAGAAGAGAAACTGATTTAAATTATACAAGACAAATTCAAAGAAGGGCTAATTGCTTACAATACATTCTGGTTGTAGATACCATATGCAAAGTGTCACGTAGTTACGATTGTTTTCGATTCCGAAAAATACACTCCTCTGACTATTCACAGACCTCTTAATGAAGTCTTGATGAATCAAGAAATTCCAATTTAGTACAACCAAAACTCATTGTACGATACAGCATGATAAACGTAATACCTGTCCGACTAAACCTAGCACAATAAGATGACATGTATCTTTGATACATACAGTCAATATCTAAAGATGATCTCACATACACTACATGTTATTTTTAGAACATTAGAATAGAACATTAGTCACTAATCCTCAGAATTACTTATGTCTTGATATCAGCACTCTTGATATCAACCAAGATAGAGATGGTTGGATAGAGGAGCGTTGAGTATCCTCGGCTTAGCATCAGTATGGTGTATACTAGAGCTTTTGGGTTAAAAAAAAAGGTTTAGCACAATGTTGAACAGTGAAGAAAAATTAACTACAAAGAAATGCATAACATACAGAAGAATGTTTTGAAAACCTAATTATACATAACAACCCTTAAAATGAGAGCAGTTAAAATAAAAACTAAAATATTTATAAGCCTACACAGGTAGAAACCACTAGCTGTTGAGCACGGCGAAATTGATACAACTCAATTGGAGTGGCTAGATCATCCAATAAAGGTTCCCGCTGCGTAGTCTTAAACTGATAGGAGCGATCGAGCTTGTTTTTGGCTTTGGATGGTGACTCAGAAGACGCTGCAACTTGTTTTACGGATTCTGCAATAACCAGACCTTCTTCTCGTGAACACATCTCAATCCATTTAGCGAAGCTCATATTATGATAAAATGGGCAACCAGATAAAGTAATATGAATAACATCTTTTCCGTTTATATGACCGAGTCCAGAGCATCCTACTAGGGGACAAACAGGCGGATAATTTGAAATGTCCACTGGAGGTTCTGTTAGATACAAAAAATGAAATAAAGTGACACTACCTTTTTTTGGTCGTTTCATAGTCCAAGAAACTATGCTTCGTTGAGATTTCAGCCGTCTGGAACTTGTGGGCGCTAACGGTTTTTTCATTTAAAGTAGTCAGACAATTCGTAACCAAAGAACTCGACAGTGTCGCTAAAACAAAAAAGTTAATGCAGTATACAGAGCAAAACAGTAGAATACTATCTAGCTTTATACCTGAATAAACTACATAGGACACATTCACTACAGTCACCTGAACAAAGTCCGAAACACTATGTACCATCATCAAGGAAACCTGGTCAGAAGTACATTGGAACACTGAAAGTGATGGTGACGGAAACCTGTACATCAATTTGAAGGAAGAGGAAGCAGAACAAAAGAAGAGCATATAGTGTTTGGTGCCACCTATCCTCTAAATGATTATCACAATTCTACGACGAACCAACAACTGAAGTAGGATAAGCTCAGAAAAGAGGGACCTAAGATAACTATGAGACAGACCTCATATCAATCTCAAGGAAGCGGACACGCATCCGGCTGTTGCAAAAATATGTCCCAGTTACTTATGTTTTTTGGACGAATGAAAAAGTCTCCATAAGTGAATTTATTTTGAGAGGTTGGTTATTTGATTGGATGTTGCCTTTGGTCTTTGGCTGTGGTATCTATTCCTTAAAGTTACCCGCAACAATACGCATCATTGGGCAGAACTTAACACAGCAGTCAACCCAACACCTCAACTTTATCAATTTCGAAAAAGCTTTCAAAATTATTGGCCATTAAATAATATAGAAGGTGCTCCAATATTATGCAGTTCAAAGCCCCACACTTTTATGAACCTTATTAAGCAACTCATGATGACGCCACATATCAAACGAATCGCAACACAAAACAAAGTAAAGCCTTTGAAGAAAAGAGACAAGTAAGACAAGGCTTCCTACTATCAAATTTGATATTCCTGACTGTACTAGACTGAATAATACGACATACCGTGCTTCGGCACTGAAAACGGTACCATTCATTAGACGGAAACAAGGACCCTAGACGACCTGCCATTCGCAAATAATATACGTCTGTCACACAAAACATACGAATAGGGACAAAATTTAATTATTCATAGACAATAATGTGTAAAAACTGCAGAAAAATGCAAATGTTCAATTGAACTCTTCCATCAGGAACAGCCGATTATATGGACGAAAGAAGACTGTTCTGGCATAGTAGTGTTAAATTGCTTCAGTAGAGCCAAAGTGATAAAAGCAAAGAGACAAACATTAGTTTTAGATTATGAAAAAATGAATTAAAGCAAGTAGACGGATGCACACAGCGGTCAAATGTCGAAGTAATATCGCTGATCATTAGCTAATCACATGACGTAATTAGACTTGTCACAATCTAGAATAACTTTTCGGAACAACTGTGTAACGACAGTGAGATAGTTGAGAAGCGGCTACTGTTTATGTGAATAATTCTGGTATAAAACAGTTTCCTATATAAAGAAGTAATACCTGCTGAACAGAAGTGGAGTGGTGGCAAAGTATTTCTCTTTGACAACCAGTATTTAAATTATGCAACCTACACCTTCCGAAGAACAAACAATTCTAAATCAAGATTTACAGCAGTGTGAAAGACAGTCAACCAACTGTAACCAGTTAGTAAATATTCACCAACCTGTGTGCTAATTGGAACGTGCCGACTCGAACTGCCGCACTTCGGTGCCTAGATCTATGTTCAATCCGGACAGACAAACATCAATCTTTATACCTCTATTCTAATCGAGACGCTCAGAAGAGGTTTGATTGTGATGAAGAATCTCAAGATGAAACTACTAATGACTTAAGTAGCAACCATAAACAGTACTGAGTGACTGGGTGTTTTCCATGTAGAACTTTGCACTTACGAGCACCAATCCAAGTTGTCAAACTGTATGTATGGAGTCCTCAAAAATAAACTTATCCAATTTTTACTACTATGTAAGAAATGAACATATTGTACATTACTTTGTTTTAATCATAATCTCTATACTTTGAACTTTACCTCGCTTTTGAAGGGAAATATAGTTCTGCCTTCGTCTCTCCGTCTTCTCCACCATTTCAACTGCCATCGATCAATTCTGATCACCTGCTTTCTATCTCAAATTTTCGCAGGAGCACCGTAGTTTCTTCCTACGTACTTTGGTCGACCCCTGGCAACACCAACATTGGAGAATTAGTATTGGAGCAGTCTCTTTGCAATACCTCAGCAGTCTATTACGTAAATTGTGGATTTTGGACCTTGTAAATACCCAAGTAACAAAAATTCAATATATTCTTCCGGTAACTTAACTGATTTGGTATTTATTTTCTATCGAAGTTTTGGATGCTCAGCTAACGGACTCAAAGGTCCACCATATGTGTACCAGACATAAATGTAGGCAAAAGTGGAAAGAAACGAAGGAGGAAATTGGAGAAAAAATACACTGCGTGGAAATGAATGGCAGCAACAATCAGAATAATAACGGAAATTTAATAGGCCTTGGAGATCACAGCGACTGGATGCGTATACACCATTGAGAACGACCTTAAGCTATGTCACTAACAGTTCCCCCAAACACTAGTTCTAAGAGTCTTGACGAACACAAATAGGCAGTCTACAAGTCCATACGTGGTTGACTCAAAATAAAATGATCAAGCACCTCATCGACTGATTCCACGTCTTGGTTTGAGCACCCCTAACTCCTTTCCACTCTGTTCAAATTTCATCCAGTATCATTCGAGGACAAGGATGACTTCACATCGGTAGCACATCCTAGACGTTTCAACCGATGTGATATTATAGTCTCATCGACTAAATTTCCCTCCTGACCTAACAACTCATGACTAGTCCCAATACTACTCAACCTATTGTTATTGGGTCCTTGAGATATGCGAGCCCGACCACCATGTCAAGGTAGCAACTATCGATCGGACCAATTCTAGTCTCAATTAAGCAACCCTTTCCTCATTCTATCGAAAATCCTTCTTCAAAAACAATCTGAGCCCTCTGAGTATAAGTTAGATAAGCGCAACTTTGGAGTACTTTTTATTACTTGTGAGTCCCGTGGTGACTGACATCACGATACTTATGCAAACACATCAAAACTTGTGTACATATAATGGAAGCCTCTAGGTTGCATGTCACTGATGAGAGACGAAATGAAATGATAGCACCTCATTCCACTCAAACCGTTGCTTCTTATCAGTGCCGAAATTTCGTCAGACACCATTATATCAATTCTAGGGTGAATTTCCATGCATGCCCAGTATTTGGTGCCTCAAACAAATTAATATTGGGTAGTAACAGGAAATGCGTCAGTGGCATAGCGGTTAGGACGCTCGCCGACCATGCACATGGTCCGGGGTTCGATCCCCGGCCGACTCACTCCTTCACCTCTCTTAGCCAGAGATAATGCTGGTAAAGAGGAAAGGTTGGGCATGAGGCTAGCATCCACATCCTGTAAAATAAACACTGCTACAGAAACTTCAAGCCACTAGCTTGAAGCCCCATGTTCCACTGGGAACGTGAGGTAAAAGTTTAGCGACAAGGATTAACGAGTTGGAAACTAATAGGTCTGAATGACGAGTCTGAAGACGGAGTTCTGGAGCAAGGTCACCATCACGACGACGATTTCTCTCACGACAGCGTTCTAACACGTCTTCTAGGGACAGTAATATATGTTGGTATCACAAGAAGTTTGGACGTCATGCCCTGAAATGTGTAAAACTGTACAGCGTTAGCGAAGCCAATCAGGCTCGGGGAAACGTCTCAGCCAGTAAGTGATGGCGACACCTGTTACTGGCAATTAAACAAGTCGTCTTTTCTATGTGAAGGACAAAACTTCAGACACTTTATTCCTGGTAGACACAGGAGCAGAAGTTAGCGTGATCCATCCTTTACTATCCAGGCGATCTACACAGACACCCGGAAAACTGTCTCTCCGGGCAGCCAAACACACAAGCATACAGACGTATGGAGAGCAATCCCTTATACTGGATCTAGGTTTACGTCGGCGTTTCACGTGGATTTTCATAGTAGCCGACGTCGGTTACGCCATCCTCGGAGCTGATTTCTTAAGCAATATTAACCTGTTAGTTGACATCAACAATAAAAAACTGATTGATAACAACACCCAACTAAAGATCCATGGAATTATCTCCAATTATTCTGTCTATAATGTCATAGTCGAAATACCAGCGGATTGCACTTTTTCCGCCCTACTTCATCGTTTTCCTAAAATACTTAAGCCATCGTACAACATCGAGGACGTCCCTCATACAGTCACTCACAAGAATGTTACCACGGGTCAACCGGTTCGTGCTCGTCCTCGTAGATTACCCCCGGACAAGTTAGCAGCAGCCAAGGCAGAATTTGAACACATGATGCAGCTCGGCATCATCAGACCCTCCAATAGTCCTTGGTCTTCACCCTTACACATGGTGCCTAAAGCTGATCATGATTGGAGGCCATGTGGGGATTATGGACATTTAAACAATGCTACAGTTCCGGACAGTTCCCCGATTCCCCACCTTCATGATTTCTCCTGACATTACGTGGAAGAACCTTTTTTCTAAAGTAGATTCGCTCAGGGCCCATCACCAAATACCAGTAGCCTCAGAGGATATCGAAAAAACGGCCATCGTCACACCTTTCGGTTTGTTCGAATTTCTGCGCATGCCATTTAGTCTAAAGAACGCCGCACAATCCTTTCAACGTTTCATGGATCAGGTCACACAAGGTTTGGATCTTCTATTTGTATAGCTCGTCGCCTGAAGAACATACTGATCACCTCACCATCTTGAGCAATATGGCGTCGTCATTAACCCCAAAAAGCGCATATTCGGTGACTTCTCTATACAGTTTCTGGGACACCACATAACCGCAAATGGTGTTAAGCCTACGGAGGAAAAGATAGAAACTATTAAGAACTTTCCCGAACCAGATTCCTTAAAGAAACTTAGACTTTTTTTCGGGATATTCAATTTCTATCGACATTTTATCCCATCATGTGCCTCCATAGTTCAGCCACTGACCGACCTACTTAGATGCAATCCGAAGAAATTTCAGTGGTCTGAAGAAGCAAAAGCAGCATTTAATAATGCAAAAGATGCCTTATCCAACGTTGTAATGTTGTCTCACATCAACCCAGAGGCCTCACTCATTCTATGTACAGATGCATCGCAGGTAGCAGTGGGAGCAGTTTTACAACAAAAGTTCAACAATGACACCACTCCACTTGCTTTCTTCTCCAAGAAGTTGGAACCTGCGCAAACTCGTTACAGCACCTTTGGCAGAGAACTGTTAGCTATCTATCTAGCAGAGAAACATTTCAGCTTCTTATTACAAGGTCGGCATTTTACTATCTTAACCGACCATAAGCCTCTTTGTTATGCTTTTACTACTTCTTTGGACAGACACTCTCCGAGAGAGGCCAGACAACTGGATTACATATCACAATTCTCAACAGACATCCAGTTTATCAAAGGAGATTCCAATATCGCAACCGATTCTTTGTCTCGATGTGATGTTAATCAGCTTCTATCTGCGATAGACGTTAGCTCAGACAATATAGCCAAGTTGCAGAAAAATGACGCCGAACTTCATACTTGTAGACGAAAGTCCTCCCTACAGTTGCAAGACATACCTATTCCTCTGTCTGATATAACTATCGTCTGCACCGTTTCAACTGGCGTTCATCAACATTTTGTTCCACTAAGTTGTCGAAAACCTTTGTTTATAAATAAATAAATAAATTCATTCTCATGATTCAGTACATGAGGGACGCCAGTTTACAGGCATCATCAAATTGTTACAGAAATAGGACCATATTATTCAGTCACAATTTACAATCGATAGCAAAATATGTTTAACATGTACACTGGAGATTATACATACACTTGATAAATGTTAATCCCAATAGTATAAAACATCCTTTTCACTTATGTACAATCGTTTCTGTGCATAGTTGGAAAAATCCGCTAGATTGTCAGTGAGTGCAACACATCAGGAAATACAGAAGTATTGTCTTCGCATTAACAAAAATAACCAGGTCTTTGGTGGATGGGTTATAAGTGCCTGGGAAAAAAAATAAAGCTTGAAGTCAGTTTTCATACATAATTTTACTGTGTACAGAATTCTTGAATTATAGTTCATTGTTGTGTTATTTGGAAATCAGTGTTTTGCTTATCTCGTTTGATCTGCAATGTAATTGTTGGGAGCAAAATACATAGGCTTTGGACGCATTAATTAATGGATTTCTACTGCTTGTGGGTATTTACTTCTCGTGAGGAAGGTTTTTGAATTTTAGTTGTTCCGACAGGAGTTGTGGATATTAGCTGCTCAGCAACATTACGGATATAAGTTCATCACATTATCTTAGGAAAGTTGAGTTGTGGTTGGTGAGGTATATAAGATGCCTTACGAGCGTACATCTGTCCATGTGATGTTGTGGTGAGTTATATTTTATATTTATATTTTTATATTTTTGATTACAGCTTGATATCTTTTTCATGTTGTCGGTTTATGTCCATTTTATTCCACTTATTGTGTTGGGTAGAAGTTTTACAAACGAAAGTTTTGGTCTGTTTGAGGGTAAGTATCTTAATCGTTAATAATAATAATAATAATAATAATTTTTATTTCTGTAACAGAAACCAGCCATTTTTACAGGCATGAACATATGTACATTTATGAAAACTTATAGAATA